TAGGTTGGACGCCACCACTCTTAGGTTGGAGGCCATCGCTATTAGGTTAAAGGCCATCGCTAGCAGGTTGGAGGCCATCGCTATTAGGTTGGAGGCTGGAGGCCATTGCTATTAGGTTGGACGCCATCACTCTTAGGTTGGAGGCCATCGCTATTAGGTTGAAGGCCATCACTATTAGGTTGGAGGCCATGGCTATTAGGTTGGAGGCCATCTCTATTGATTAGGTTGGAGGCCATCGCTATTAGATTGGAGGCCATCGCTATTATGTTGGAGGCCATCCCTATTAGATTGGAGGCCATCGCAATTAGGTTGGAGGCCATCGCTATTAGGTTGGAGGCCATCGCAATTAGGTTGGAGGCCATCGCAATTGGGTTGGAGGCCATTGCTCTTAGGTTGGAGGCCATCGCTTGTAAGGAAGACTGAATCAGAGTTAGGTTGTTGACGGACACTCGGCGCATCTAATGAGTCTTCTTTCTGAGGTGCAGATCTCAAGGACGTTGCACAGGAGCCCCCAGTAGCGTCCTTTGCTCGTAGTAGCGATGCCAGGAGCCCCTAGTAGCTTCTTGTTCCTAGTAGTAAGGCCAGGAGCCCCTAGTAATTAGCGTCCTTGTATAATAAGATTGTTGTACTGTCGTGCAGATGTTTTTTTTTCGGGATGATTGTGGAGTATCGTCTCACATATGCATCCTTCAACCCAGCTGGTTGTGCATTAGGCGCAGAGGAGTGCGGCTACCCCTTTTCACTTTCAATCTCATTGTTTCTCCGGTGTTGGCGACCAGAATGCAGGCCTAACTCAAACAGTATAGTTCTTTTTCTTAGAGACAAATGCGCACGCACACAGCCTGAGAAAGACAGAGAAAGGGAGAGAAAGAGCAAACGGAAAAGGGCAAGAGAGAAAGTAGTTGCAGGCAGTCTGTTGGAAAGTACTATAGACTTGAAAAAGTCCGGCGACATGAAAAGTCATATAGCATGTAAGTAAAAAACCACATCGATCGAACATGTCATGCTGAGCGATGGATATTCAGTAGAATTCCCGTGAGTTCGTCAGCACTTATTCAGGCTAACTGTACTGTAAACGGCTTCCCGAGCACAAACGAAAGTTCAGACAACGGCAATCCGGACTGGTTTCGGCGCCCCTTGCACGCATCACACTGCACACCCAAGTGGGAAGATGCAGCAGGTCACACTTAGACTCAAAGTTCCGGTGAGGGAACATCAATTTCAATGTGTTATTCAGAAATGCAGGATCGCTTGACTGGCTAGTTAGTGCAGAACGGAAAGGTGGTAAGTCAGCGCACTTGAAGGTGTTTCAACAATGTCGTCGGCTGAAATGCAAAGCGCAAGCGCGGCCGCTAGAGAGGTAGGTTCCATAATGTTATTATGGAACGAGACGGGTGAAGCCGTTGGTCAAGTCCCATCTCCCGCGATATCACCCAGCTTCGTTGGTCAAGGTTGGTGATATCACGCTTTGACCCCTGCTGCTAGAAAGCGAGATTCAAAAAATAAAGGAGCAAGAGTAGAGACCCTGGAGATGGGCGTTGACACACAAAGTGCCGAATCGGCGCTGCTAGAAACATGCTAAAAGCGTGCAAAGCCTTGCGTAGCCACTTAACAAGCCTTAGAAAGAAAAGGAAAGGAAGAAAGAGCAAGAGAAGAGGGCAAGAGAGAAAGTAGGTGTAAGTAAGCGCATGCAGTTGGTTGCAGATCGTCCAAGCAAGGGTGTCGAGTGAACCGCAAGATAAAAGTTGGTGAGCTGAAGTCGATGCCGGCGCTGCCTGAGTTATATCTACCTGAGTAGCCACCCAACAAGCCTACCAGGCAAGGGTGCCGAATGAACGGCAATTAGGAACCAGCAGGCGATTCGGGCGCTGCCTGAATAGAAAGATAGAGAAAGGGAGAAAGAGCAAAAGGAAAAGGGCAAGACTAGGCGTAATAGAGTAGTTACAGGCAGTCTGTGGGATATCTATCGAGCATGGGTGCCGAATGAACGGCAAATTAGAAACCAGCAGGTGCTGGTGAACGGACGTCGATTCCGGCGCTGCCTGAATGATATCTGCATGACTAGCCACCTAACAAGCCTGAGAAAGACAGAGAAAGGGAGAGAAAGAGCGAACGGAAAAGGGCAAGAGAGAAAGTAGTTGCAGGCAGTCTTCTGATGGAAAGTACTATAGACTTGAAAAAGTCCGGTGACATGAAAAGTCATATAGCATGTAAGTAAAAAACACATCGATCGAACATGTCATGCTGAGCGGTAGATATTCAGTAGAATTCCCGTGAGTTCGTCAGCACTTATTCAGGCTATCCTTGCAAGTCAGCTGTGCAGTTAAAAGGCTTCCCGAGCACAAACGAAAGTTCAGACAACGGCAATCCGGACTGGTTTCGTCGCCCCTTGCACACATCACACTGCACACCCAAGTGGGAAGATGCAGCAGGTCACGCTTAGACTCAAAGTTCCGGTGAGGGAACATCAATTTCAATGTGTTATTCAGAAATGCAGGATCGCTTGACTGGCTAGTTAGTGCAGAACGGAAAGGTGGTAAGTCAGCGCACTTGAAGGTGTTTCAACAATGTCGTCGGCTGAAATGCAAAGCGCAAGCGCGGCCGCTAGAGAGGTAGGTTCCATAATGTTATTATGGAACGAGACGGGTGAACCGCTTTAAGTAGGTAAAAAGAAAAAACCTCCTGTTTAGAAAGCGAAACGGACGAATCGCTCCATCAGGGTTGAAAAGGAAAGGGAACGGACAGACAAGTCCGCTGGGCGACATAAGAACCACCCACTAGACTAGAGCAGGTACATGGGACTGGCCAAGTCCCATCTCCCGCGATATCACCCAGCTTCGTTGGTCAAGGTTGGTGATATCACGCTTTGACCCCTGCTGCTAGAAAGCGAGATTTAAAAAAATAAAGGAGCAAGAGTAGAGACCCTGGAAATGGGCGTTGACACACAAAGTGCCGAATCGGCGCTGCTAGAAACATGCTAAAAGCGTGCTAAGCCTTTACGTAGCCACTTAACAAGCCTTAGAAATAAAAGGAAAGGAATAAAGAGCAAGAGGAAGAGGGCAAGAGAGAAAGTAGGTGTAAGTAAGCGCATGCAGTTGGTTGCAGATCGTCCAAGCAAGGGTGTCGAGTGAACCGCAAGATAAAAGTTGGTGAGCTGAAGTCGATGCCGGCGCTGCCTGAGTTATATCTACCTGAGTAGCCACCCAACAAGCCTACCAGGCAAGGGTGCCGAATGAACGGCAATTAGGAACCAGCAGGCGATTCGGGCGCTGCCTGAATAGAAAGATAGAGAAAGGGAGAAAGAGCAAAAGGAAAAGGGCAAGACTAGGCGTAATAGAGTAGTTACAGGCAGTCTGTGGGATATCTATCGAGCATGGGCGCCGAATGAACGGCAAATTAGAAACCAGCAGGTGTTGGTGAACGGACGTCGATTCCGGCGCTGCCTGAATGATATCTGCATGACTAGCCACCTAACAAGCCTGAGAAAGACAGAGAAAGGGAGAGAAAGAGCGAACGGAAAAGGGCAAGAGAGAAAGTAGTTGCAGGCAGTCTGATGGAAAGTACTATAGACTTGAAAAAGTCCGGTGACATGAAAAGTCATATAGCATGTAAGTAAAAAACACATCGATCGAACATGTCATGCTGAGCGGTGGATATTCAGTAGAATTCCCGTGAGTTCGTCAGTCTTTATTCAGGCTATCCTTGCAAGTCAGCTGTGCAGTTAAAAGGCTTCCCGAGCACAAACGAAAGTTCAGACAACGGCAATCCGGACTGGTTTCGGCGCCCCTTGCACGCATCACACTGCACACCCAAGTGGGAAGACGCAGCAGGTCACACTTAGACTCAAAGTTCCGGTGAGGGAACATCAATTTCAATGTGTTATTCAGAAATGCAGGATCGCTTGACTGGCTAGTTAGTGCAGAACGGAAAGGTGGTAAGTCAGCGCACTTGAAGGTGTTTCAACAATGTCGTCGGCTGAAATGCAAAGCGCAAGCGCGGCCGCTAGAGAGGTTATTATGGAACGAGACGGGTGAACCGCTTTAAGTAGGTAAAAAGAAGATAAAACCTCCGTTTAGAAAGCGAAACGGACGAATCGCTCCATCAGGGTTGAAAAGGAAAGGGAACGGACAGACAAGTCTGCCGGGCGACACATAAGAACCACCCACTAGACTAGAGCAGGTACATGGGACTGGACAAGTCCCATATCCCGCGATGTCACCCAGCTTCGTTGGTCAAGGTTGGTGATGTCGCGGCTTGACCCCCTGCTTCTAGAAAGCGGGTAAGAAAGAGAGAGAGAGAGAAAGAGAGACAGAGAGATAGATAGATACTTAATGATATATATTTATTTATATAGACAGCACTTGTTTACACAGAATGTCGGCTCCATTTTGGTCATGTCGTTGGGTGTTTTTTCCACATGATTTTGTGTATTGACTTACTATCTCATGTGCATTCATGTGCTATCTCCACTTTGGATCCCAATTCTCCATGCGCCTTGGCCGCGAGAGGATGGTACTGCTAAAGTGCTCATCAGCGCCTTGACCGCTGCCGCCGTGGCCGCTGGAGTCCGTCTCCTTGGACCGGGCTGTCGGGATGGGGCAGGGCATGTGGAGAAGTCTTCCACCAGAATTCCCAAGAAGGAAGGACTTGCCTGATGGCCTACAACCTAGAAGCGCGAGAAGCAATGGCCCCCAACCTACAAGAAGGATTTATTTAAGTTGGTGAATTTTTTTGGTTGTGAACTATCACGTGCCTTGCTTGCCTTGTGAATGGTCGAATTTTCACTTGCTTAGGAGGTAAATTTTCAATGTATAAACCGAAATTGTTAAATGTTTAAACTACTTTTTCAGGAGTGTGGTTGCTTAGGACATGTTCCTGTTCCAAGTAACATGCCATGACGCAGCTATCGCTTGAGGTGTTGGCCATCCATTGACAGACCCTTCGCTGTCACATGCGATGCAATTCAGTTCTCTGATGGGAGAAATGTTTGGTCAGGAGAAGCCTTGGTGCGTGCTGAGAGGCAGATGGAGATTGCAAACAAACCCAACGATTGGCGCTGGTGATTTGCTCGGCCAAAGCCGGAGAGGAAGAAACACCTTCAGCCGCTTCAGCACATGGTGCGCAATCGATCCGAAACATGTTTGGGTGAAAATGACTTCACAGTCGGATGCCCTTGTTACTAGTAGCGATGATGCACTTGTTTCTAGCTGAATCTTCCAAGGTTGAAGGAGTTGGAAGGACGTTATCTCCCCCTTCCCGCGAGAGATTCTGTGCTCGCGAAGTGGGTAAGAAGAGCACCGTGTCACACCGTGTCTTATCTACCTTTTAGACACTTAGACCTGACCAACTTGGACGACTCCTTTCAAGTTGTTTTACTATAGGATTGCACCTGATTACACAATGAAAACCGATTAGTTTTCAGAACACACTGAACACACCTGTCGAAGTGCTGGGGCTGCGGATCCCTACGTTTGATCTGCGCCCCAAAATGGTCGTCTCGACTTGCCCCATTTCGAGAGCCCCGATTTCGCGACCGCGGAGCATCCTGCGGCGCCGAGCTTTTGTTTCATGAGACTTGCTTAGATCACTCCCGGCTGTGCGTTCTTAGAGTTGGACCTGAGTTGGTTGGTGTGTGGAGTTTGCACTTAAACAACTATGTTGAACTTGAGGGTATTAAGCGAAGAAGGGTCCAGAAACATGCTTCAGCAGTGTCGTTTTTGCCATGTGCTCTTCTTTCCAGTTCAGTTCTGATAGTTCAACATCAGGGACTGACGTGAGGGATGTCCTGGTATCGTCCCAGCCTGGTTCACGATCCATAGAGTTTGGATCAGTGGCATTTGGGGTGTGATGCCGGTGGTGTATGACTCATCGAACAGCTGGAAGTGGTCAAGCGAGCGGTAGCCGCACAGCGCAAAGGACTGTGGGAAGCGATTGCATCGGTAGAGCCGGACGGAAGGGATCCCGTTGAAAGGAATCCGGACGAAAGTGAAGAGACCTTCAAAGTCTTGACACTCCACCTTTTGGATGCGGCCTAAGCCAGGGAAGTGACCCACTGAATATGATATGCAAAAAATATATATGCATACCTCGGCATTCTCCGCTCATATATGGTTGCTTAATTAACTCACAAACTCAGAGATCCTGGTTGCAAACGCCCGACGACCCACGTCTGCGTGGCTTGTTCGATGCTTCCGTTTCGCACAGACTACACTTTTGGACGTTCCAGGCTCCGTGTGTCGCGGGACGCTGTCAGGGTTTGAGAGACCTGACAGGAACCCGGGCCCCCCGAATTTCCCCTGAGAGCCAGGGGGCGTTCGTCGGGGCGTTCTACGAAAGACTAAGAATACGTCTTCGGAAATGACTTGCGGCTGACCTGGAATGGGGGAGGGCTGACACGCTCTACGTGTGAGCAAAGAGAGAGTGATCAACTCTTCGTTGAGGATGTTTATGCATGCACTTTGTTTCCATCACGTGCTTTTCGCAGCCTCCCTCAAGATGGTCCTTGTCAATTGAAACACCTGCAAACCATGTCGTTTTCCACTTCCATTCATTGGTCAAGTCATGCCTTGCACGGTGCACTTTCCGTTCGACCTCGACTTCCAACAGTTCAATCCCTTCAACTCCCCGTCTCCCGCTGAGGTCTTGACGACCACCTATGGCCCCATGGAGGCGCACGGAGATGTAGCGACGTAGAGAGTTTGGGCGATGCGTGTGGAGATTCTGAGGCGCTGTTACTTTTGGAGAGATGAGCAGTCGTTACTCCTAGTAGCGATGCCAGGAGCCCCTAGTAGCTTTTTGTTCCTAGTAGTAAGGCCAGGAGCCCCGTTCGTAGCGTCCTTGCTCCTAGTAGCGATGCCAGGAGCAGTCAATAGCTATATATAGATTTATATACAATAACCCAACGTCGCTCCAACTGTTGTCATGGTAATTCGGTGGACGTTGAAGTCTTGCCCCCGGTCTCGGCCGTCACCAGGTCTACAGCGTTCTTTGTTGGAAGCTGAGGGTGGTTCACTTGTCACCTTAAGGAACCCCGGGTTAGACTGAAGCAATGGAAAGCAAGCAGATTTCAGGCACCTATTTTGGAGAAAAATTGAGGCTTGTTGTGTTGTTCCCTCAAGAACTGGAAGCCCTTGTAGGTCCTTGAGACCTACGAACGAAGCTGCCATTTATGCATGCTAGAGGATGCTCATTTGTCCAGTGTGTATATATATATATATATATGTGAGTTTCGTGCCACGCAACTTGCTTTGACATGTTTGCTACCTCGCACGCCTCAAGAAAGGGCGGGCGATCGATCCGAACGAGCCATGACGGCTACTGCTTGGCCGTGAGAAAAGCACCTGCGGCCGCTGCATAGCAAGAGAGAGAACTTCCCCAAGATTTTGTGCGCTTGGACCCGTGGGAACACTTCGTTTTCGCTCCACCTGCTACCTTTGTTGTGTTCTCACAACATTGGTAGCGGAGCTACCTTAGCTCCAGGGCATGGCTTCCGCTCACGAGCTTGAATGGCGCCGCCTGGCGCCAAGTGGAGCACATGACCGACTCCTTGGTCGACGCCTCCGATGGATTCGACAGAATCCTCCAGGCCCTTGACAAGGCCTTCAAGTACGACTCACGAGTCGAAATGCCTAGAGCATTGGAGCGCTTCTTCTACCAGCTCACCAGGAAGTCAGAAATGACTATGCTCCAGTACTGCTCAGAACATCGCGAGCTCCTTCGCGAAATCGAGAAGTTTGAGATCAAGATCCCCTCCAGCGGCAGTGGCTGGCTGTTGCTTAGACGGTCAAATTTGACGCAGGAACAGAAACACCTTGTGCAAGCTCAGGTTGGTCCAGAGCTTGACATGGAGAAGGTCGAGTCCGTCCTCTACTACCTGTTTGGTCAGGACTACAAGACCAAAGCCGAACGACCCGCCTGGAACAAGAACAAGCTGAACAAAAGCAGATGGTACCCTGCCAAGAAGAGCCAGGCCTACACGGCTGAAGAGTATGACCCTGAGGACTATGAAGCCGACCCGGAAGAGACCTTCCTCCAAGCCGATGAAGAAGTCTTTGAGGATGACTTCAACCTTGAAGAGTATGAGGACCCTGACTTCGCCCACGGCACCTTCGAAGAAGAGGCCTATGGCGAAGAATGGAATGAAGAGAGTGCTGACCCTCAGTTTGAGGAAGCATACGCCACCTACCTGGACGCTCGACGCCAACTGGCGAACATAAAGGCCTCCAGAGGCTACTACCCCGTCGTGGCCTTGACCTCAGAGTTCACTTCATCCACCTCTTCCTCGTCGCAGCGACCTGTTGTGAAAGGAAGCAAGGGCAAGAAAGGGAAGGGCAAAGGAAAAGCACCACCACAAAAAGGAACAGCCCTTCAACGTGGCCGCACTGCACTCAGCGCAATGCAGTGCTTCAAGTGTGGAAGATTTGGCCATGCCGCTGCAGAATGCCCTCAGCAATCAAAGACCTCACCAAGCACTTCACCAAAGAGAGCCAAAACTGACTCAAGCACCAAGACGAGTGGACAAGCTTTCATGGTTCGTGATCTTGCTCAAGCTCCACCTCCACCCATCTCTGAAGCAGGCTGGTTCGGCATGCAAGATGGCGGTGCTAGCAGTTTGGTTTGTGGCCACAGCGTTTTGATGGAAATCGTTGTCCACATGCATTCCAAGGGGGCCCCCGTTGAGCGCTATGTGTTCTACCCCTCCTCCAAGCTGTTTGGATTCGGCGGCGACGCCATGCGGCATGCAGAATGGACCGTGAAGCTTCCCATCTATGTCAATGGACGCTCAGGCCTGGTTGAATGCTTTGTGGTCGATGGCTCAACGCCTATGTTGGTGGGCAGGCCTATTCTGAAGGCCCTGAAGATCAAGGTCGACTGGGAGAACGACTGGTACTCCTTCGACAACGGTCCTTGGCAACCTGCCACTCTTGGTCAGAAAGGTGAGTTCCTCATCAAGTTCGACGACGGCGTCACTGCAGATCCCGAAGGGAAGGAGGTCCAGTTTGACCTGGTGACTGCCGAGACCTTTGACCTCGTGACTGACCATAGTCAAGGACACTCCAATGGCTACACCTTGCAGCAGTACCTCGATGCCACCAGTCGGGATCCACCTGAACTGGCCTTTCACGTCGCTGATGATGAGAACCACAAAGCTGAGTCCAACGTGACCACCTCAGACCTCTTTGATCCTGACGATGAGCAGGAAACCCTCGTCCGACGGAACATCACCGAGAAGCTCATGAAGGGCATGCGTTTTCATCATGCTCAACAACTTGCACACCGGCACCAGGTTCTTGAACATGGACTTCGTGCCCACGAAGCTGGACAAAAGATCTTCTGGGAGGTCTACTCTGGTTGTGGCCTTTTGTCTCAAGAAATGGCCCGACGCGGCTATAAGGTCTTCAGCTTCGACTACAACACCGGCTGGGACTTTGACAAGCCCTCTCATCGCAATGAGTACTTCAAGCTCCTTGATGAGGTGGCCCCTGACTTTGTTTGGATTGCACCTTCATGCAAGAAGTGGAGCCACATGCAGAACATCAACCTGAAGACCGAACAGCAGCGTTTTGCCCTGCAGTGCGAGCGGGACTACAACGAAGCTGTGCATCTCAAGCTTTCTCGCAGGACCTATGACACCCAACACCGTGAAGGAAGAGACTCTGGGATTGAACATCCCAAACTCAGTGAGGCCTGGAACACCAAGACCTGGCATGATCTTCCTGGCTACGCTTGCCACCTGGATCAATGTGCCTTTGATGCCATGATCGCCGACTACTACATCAAGAAGCCAACTCGCCTTCAGCTGACAAATCAACAGATGGCAGAAGATCTCGCCTGGACATGCCCTGGCGATCATCAACACCTACAGCTTGAAGGTAGCCTTCCTGGCATCGGCTCACTGACTCAGGCTGCTGCCGCGTACCAGGAGACCTTTTGCTGGTACATTGGAGAAGCAATTGACCGCCTCTATAAAAATGAAGAAGGAAGAAAGAGAGATGAAACTAGAAGAAAACAACTCCGACTACACACCTACAGAACCACCGGAACCACAAGAACATGACGCCCTCACTTCACCTCACGCAGTACAACCACCACCCAAGTACCAGTGTCTTCGATTCCTCATACTCTATGCTTCAATGAGCGAGTACAAGCAGACACCATGTGGCTGAAGGTATCCTCCAAGCAGAGAGCACTTCCCATCTTGATGATCACTGATGCCTCCACACGCTACACAGCTGGACGTCTTCTACCAGCTGAGAAGCCCAAGGAATTCATCCAAGCCCTTGAACGTGGATGGCTACGAACATTTGGCCCTATGAAGCTACTTCAAGTTGATGACCATCGTGCCTGGGCCTCACAAGATGTCCGAGACTGGCGCTCCGAACAGGGGATCGAACTTCAAATCTCTCCTGGCCAAAGCCACACCAGGTTGTCAATCCTGGAACGTCGACATCAAGTCACTCGTCGCGCACTCGAGAACTTCCTGGCAGATCAGAAAGAGGCTCAACAACATGAACCACCACGAGACCAAGTGATTCGAGCCCTTTGCTATGTACTGCCACAGATCAACAGAAGCACCAATGTCCACGGCTACTCTCCAGTGCAATGGGTTTTGGGATACACACCACGAATCCCTGGCCTACTCCTCGAAGAACCAATGGTTCCACCGACACTTGATGCCACTGAGGAGTTCATGACCAAGCTCCACCGTCAGAAAGCAGCCGCCAATGCAGTTTTTGCAGCCGATCTTGATCAACGCTTGAGAAGAGCTTTGCTGCGCAAGTTCACTGGGCAAGTCTCTCAATTTGCCCTTGGCGACCTCTGCTACTACTACCGTGATGCACCTGGCGGAACTGGACCCAAGCTCCGATGGCGTGGACCAGCTCGCATCGTCATGAAGGAAAATGCCCATGCGGGACCTCATGCTGAAGTTTATTGGCTTGTGCACGGAAGCAACCTTCTTCGTGCAGCGCCAGAGCACCTCAAGCCGGTTCCAACAGCCATGCAGGAACCAGGAGAAGATGATGGCACTGACCCCTTCAAGAAAGCTCAACAAGCCATCCAAGGAGTGAGGAACCGAGGCACCACACTCTTCATCGACCTCATCCGATCCAACAAGAGACAGCGACATGAAGTTGACAGCGATGAAGAAGTGGATGAACCAGATGACCTCATGCAGACCGAGCCCAATGCACCAACCTACCACGACCACTGGCAGGTCAGTGATGACCAAAAGACCTGGACCAGGATCCACAATCATCCTCGACGAGAACTGTATGTTCCAGACTCTGAAGATGTTCCTCTTGATCGCTTCACCAGCGAGAGGATCACCAGCATCCATCGAGAACCACCACATCCAGAACACATCCGCATGCGAGATGAATGGAGAACACCTGATGCTGGCAGACCCCTACATTACAAGTGGACAGGAACAACGACCTTCATGATTGAGGATCACAAAGGATCCGACTCAGATGACACACTCCATCGTCTCTTCATGCCTGAGACGCCAGACGACAATCCAGAGCCAGATGGCGATGACCAACCGATGGAACCAGAAACAGGACAACAACCAGAGGCACCGCCTCCAGCCCCAATGCCAGAAGCACCACCGGCGCGCAGTGATGATCCACCGGCTCCAGAGGCAAACGTGCCTCCAGTGGAATCTCCTACCATTCCGGAACATCAACAACAGCTGTACACACCCCCACAACCAGGGGAAACATTTCAACAGCAAAGAGCCAGAGTTGACAAACAGGAAACCCTGTCATTTAAGATGCCAACATCCTATGGTCCAGTCAAGCCCACTGCTTCAACCAGAACAACACCATACAGCAAGGTCCATGAAGAAGAAGACATCAGCCTTCAAGTGGACGTCGACTTGACCAAGGTGGAAAACCTTCCACCCGGATGGCATTTAGAAAACGGCTGGCTCACCCTTGATGCACCGCAAGATGAATGGACCATCAATGGCAATTGGCTCATCATGCACCACTACGAACCACGCAAAGAAGCCTTCAAGCCTACCAAAGACAACTGCCCGATAGATGTGAGCTTCCTTGCAAAAGACCGAGTCACCAACACCACTCATGGTGTATTTCACGACAGATGGCAACGACACAGCCACAACAAGCTGATCGAAGAAGCCATGTGGATCGGTCAAACCCGCTTCAAGCTCAAAGCCAACTGGCGACAAAAAGCAAAAGAAGACTATGCTAAGGCCAGCGGCGGTCTTACCACCTACATTCCAAGAACTCCAGCGGGCGTGAAGAAGAAGGGCAAGGACCAAGTCACAGAACGAAAGATGAGTGTTGCTGATCGTTTGGCCTTCCTGAACGCAAAGAAGAAGGAACTGGACTCATTCTTCCAAAACCAGGTATGGCTCTATGACAAAGAAGACAATGCCTCACCTGGGAGGGTTCTTAAAGCTCACTTCATCCTCACCTGGAAGAAGAACCCAGATGGCACACCACGAGCGAAAGCCCGGCTCATCACTCAGGGGTTCAAGGACCCAGACGCTTTGAGTGGCTCCTTGACCACAAACGCTCCAACACTCACACGACTTTCTCGTGGCTTCATCCTGAGCATTTGCATGATGCACCATTGGCACATGTTCACCAGCGACATCACAACAGCCTTCCTCCAAGGGAAGAACTTCAAGGCCGACTCCAACAGAGAAATCTGGATCAAGCTTCCCTCTGATGCAAAGCAGATTCTTGGCCTTGATCCTCATGACTCTACGGTCATGAAGCTCGTTAAGCCCATGTACGGTCTCTGTGATGCACCCCGTGCATGGTATGAGGAGGCAGCTGAAAGAATCCTTCGAGCTGGTGCTGGCACCATCGTCCGACATCCCTTGGACGCCTGCCTGTTCATGTGCTACGAGCCCACCAATGAGGAGGTCACTGAAGAGACCGAAAGACCACTGACTGCAGTTTTTGGCATCCACGTTGATGATTTGATTGGTTGTGGTGATTTTGGTAGTCCTCACTTCAAATCCTTGAAGGAAAAGCTCCACGGCATCTTCACCTTCCGTGAGTGGCAAGATTCCGATGAGCTGGAATACTGTGGAAGCCAACTCCTTCACAAGGAAGATGTGCTCCGACTTTCCCAAGAGGACTATATCAAGAAAGTCAAACCAATCTCCATAGCCACAGATCGTGCCAAAACGCCAGAGTCACCTGTCACCGATCGTGAACGATCTTTGCTGCGTGGCCTCATTGGCGGACTACAGTGGCCTGCAACACAGACAGCACCACACTTACAAGTCGGAATATCCATGTTGGCTGGCGAAACCTCAAGAGCAACAATACAGACACTACAACTGGCAAACAAACATTTGCGCTTTGCAAAAGAGTTTGCTGACGTTGGCCTGGATTACCGACACCTTGGCACCAAAGGAGAAATGAACTTCATCGTCTACTCCGACGCCTCCTTTGCTTGTAGAAGTGGCAACAACAGCCAAGGCGGCTACTTGTTGGCCATGTGCCATAAAGATGTGGCAGCTGGACTCTCCGAGGGCTACTATAATGTTTTGGACTGGCGATCTTGGAAGTTGCCCCGAATTGCAAGAAGCACTCTCTCAGCTGAAGCTCAAGCTGCCTGTGATGCCTCCGATGCCTTGATGTTTGCAGTTTTGTTTTGGAATCTCATTTGGAAGCCATTCCTACCACTCAATCAAGTTGAAAGTGGACAGCTTCCTCACCAGCCACGTCTGGTCATCGATGCAAAAGCATTGTTTGATGTCCTCACCAAGGATGAGATCCAAGCCGCAACAAGCGCCGACAAGAGGACCACCATCGAGGCCTTGGTCTGTCAGGACAAGCTTGCTTGTTGCCACGGCAAAACAGCGTGGGTCAGCAGTGAACTTCAATATGCTGATGGTTTGACCAAGCAAAGCGGTGCAACCCTCCTGGCCCAAAGGTTGAGATCCTGTATGACACGCCTCCGTTCAGATGAAAGTTTTCAAGCCTCCAAGAAGAAGACTCCACTGGACCGCAAAAGAAACACTGAGCGGTATGCTGTCAAGTGCCCTGAATGAGCTTTAGCTGCTATGATGGCTAGCTGCATGTTCAGGACCACCTACGCCATGAACACCACGAACTCCCCTGAAGAGCCCTTTGATAACACCTTCATGTTTTTGATCCTCTTCACCATGTTCATCGGTGTCTTCATGTGGTTTGCAGTCACCAAGCTGGTGACAAAGGCATGGACAACCCTCAATAGCACATTCACAAAAGCTTCAACTTCAGAAAGCACCACGCAAGTCTATGAGACAGAGTTCATGGACTACACGGACACCTTCACGCAGACAGAGCGACGGCAGGACCTTCTTGCAGGAGCTGAAAGCCGAGCTCGAGGAGACTCGCCAAAAAGGTCTCCAAGCTGCGAAGGAATGCCGCACTTGGGCGGCAGAGTATGAGAAGCTGAAAAAGAAGAATGCCGATGACTTCGAGCAGAGACTCAAGGTCGAACGGCAGCGCAGTTCTTTGAAGCCCATCTATTTGGCTGGGCAGGGATCCTGTTGGCACGCAAGTCGGAAGTGCCTTGCTGGAAGAACCCCAGGTCCGATCTTCGAGCGCTTGCCCTGTTCGTGTTGTGCCCACACTCTGTGGGATAGGAGCCAACCCTCTGCGCCACCTGGAGGAGCTCACTGGTCCACGACACACGGGGATTTGTTTGCAGAGCCTCAAGGACCTGCTGGCCCGAATCCAAACTTTTGATGGAAGAGCTGCGAACGTTTTTTTTACGAGGATTTCACCACCAGTGTGAGTTTCGTGCCACGCAACTTGCTTTGACATGTTTGCTACCTCGCACGCCTCAAGAAAGGGCGGGCGATCGATCCGAACGAGCCATGACGGCTACTGCTTGGCCGTGAGAAAAGCACCTGCGGCCGCTGCATAGCAAGAGAGAGAACTTCCCCAAGACCTTGTGCGCTTGGACCCGTGGGAACACTTCGTTTTCGCTCCACCTGCTACCTTTGTTGTGTTCTCACAACAATATATATATATGTAGACGCAATGTTATACATGACTCCTAGCATCTACCCAGGTGCAGGGCCAGTACAGGGTTCGGGTGCGACCCTGAGGTGAAGCCTTGAAAGACCTGCCCGGCCTCAGCACCAGCCGATCAAAACGGATATATGTTGGCCCGGGTGCCTGTGGACAAGCTGGCCGTGTGGGATGGACTCTGAGAGCAGCAAGGGAGGTTTAGGGGTTTAGGGTCAAGGTCGAAGAGCTTCTTGCTACTAGATGGCCTGCACCCTGGAAGCAATGGCCTCCAACCTAACAGAGCAATTGAAGGATGAACCTCTCGAACATTCGTGTGGGACCTGTCAAAGGCACAAGAGGGTAGGCTTGAAGATCATCGTGTGGCTTGGAGCTTCAAGGAGTCAGAGCAAAGCCACACACCAAACGTATCAGGCATAAAGATGGGTTTGCCCAACATAAATAAACACTTGCTATGCAAAACTTGACCGCTTAACTTAGGCGTCAATGGACACATTGTCCATCGTACTTGAGCCCAAAGGATCCAAAGAGCCGCCAACCCTTGGTGTTGAGCACTCATTGAGCACAAGAAGCGCCAAGGCAAGGAGGAGGATTACTGGACAACGTCCGCTGAAATGAAGCAGGACCATTGGCCACTGTTCAGGTTCACATGGAAGAGACGTATAGAGAAAGCATTGGAGATGACGTATCAACAAAAGAAGCGTAGTGTGATCAGTTGCCGTGTTTCAAACGTCATTTTTGGAGATTCCTGAGATGCGCCCGATCAACTGGGGTCTGGAGATTCCTCGGCCCAGCTGGTGAGTCTTGAAGGGACGCTCTTGGCTTTGAGCGGCATTGATTCAGCTCAACGCATCAACCAAGCCTATCATGTTCATGCCATGTCCCACACGGCTTCGCCAAAAACGGACAAGAATCTTCAGCCAAGCTGGCTGCAGAGGAAAACTCTGGATAAGCATGTTTCTGTCAGGAGCCCAACAAGAAAGAAAGAACAAACACTTCCGGAGGGTCGAACTGCATGCAGCACCTGCTTTAGGCAATCCCTTTTTACCTAACAGCTTAGCACCTCATGAATTCATGTCCCCAAAAACGTGGCCAGAACTTCCAGCCAAAGCTTTCCCGGGACAAAGCTTGCCCGGGCTGTGCCATGCAGCTGCCGCTGGTGCCACGGATGTGTCCTTCACCAGCGCCGTGGGCACCAGCGCCGGCTGCAGACCACCCACTTCACTTGCGCAGCCTTCGCGTGGGAGCGGCAGGTGGCTTGGAGGCGCTATAAGACGAATGAAGTACTGAGTGCTGTCATTCTTATCCTACACAGTATGCATATATATATATTATTCTGTACATGAACTACAATTTGATTAAATCGAATGCATGCCATTGACCAAGCAAACGGTTTCCTTTTGGAGGCCAAGGAGGCCAGAAGCCTAGGCCTAGTAATGCCCTTGTTACTAGTAGCTTCTTGTTCCTAGTTGTAATGCCAGGAGCTACTAGTAGCTTCTTGTTACTAGTAGCGATGCCCTTTGTTACTATGTTTATGTCGGCCTTTTTCACCCAAGGCTCCACGCTCCTTCTTGCCGTGCACCCGCTTTCACGCGGCGATCGGCGGACGGCCGCGCGGCGATCACGGACCGCACGATGTGCGGTGGAGGAGGATGAGCACGCCAAAGCTGTGCAGCAATGGGTGCAGGACGTGGTGATTGGTTTCTGGGATGAGGATTTGGGATGAGAGCCGACAATTGGCCCTGTGGCTATAGCGCGTATATTTGAATCTATTCACCTGTTGGCTGACATGGTAGAGATATCGAGAGATTCAAGTCATTACTGTTCTGCGAAGCCATGTGGAGCTTTGACAGAAATCGGTGTATCCATCATTCTCCATCCACTTGCAACCTATGCTTCGACACACCAATTGTCCAAGGCTCCACAAAGACATTCCTTTCTAAGTCCTTTTCAATCCTTTCTGGCACTGACGGCCGCGGGGCTGCGTGACCTCACAGTTGCCTTTTTGAGGCTATAATTTTTGCCCCTATGCGCAGCCTGCAGCTGCCCAGGGCCACCTCAGGGTGGTGACCAGCACCAGTGAGGCTCATTGGCACCTTGCAAGTGAAAGAGTATAAGAGTTTCAACTGGACAGTTCTGTGCCTAACATGTCCCCCCCCCCCAAAAAAAAAACAGGAAGCCTCAGGAAGCAACAAAACCTAATGTGTATACATCAAACGAAGCTTCCTTTCGAGAACGCGTCCCTCACTCGGGTGCCCCGAGAGTCGAGTGCGAAAGACGATTCGCTGGGCAATTGGTGGCACAGGGAGAACACATGTTTTGAGTGAACCTATCTATCCAAACCAGTTTAGGCTAAACCTGCTTAAGACTTGAGACTCTTAAGTCCATCAACTAAAGGATTTGTAAGATTCGATATGTCTTTAGACTTGGAGACCCGTAAGACGACCCGCTTGGCGCCAGGTGCCTGAAGGAGTCCTAGAGGATTTGAGTGCAGAGGCGGTGCGTTTGCCTCAGGGTCCACTGAGCCTCACAGAGAGGATCGAAGGGGCAAAAAGTGACATACATCGGCATAAGTGCAGAGAACTTAGAAAACTCTGTAGTTTTTTTTATGTTTTAAGTAGGGACATTTTCCAGGACCAATCTGTATGATCCAGTATGCACATTCACAAGGAGAGGGAGAGAGAGAGAGAGAGGGAGAGATGCAGTCCGATGTTGCTCCCGTGAAAATAGAAAACATCTCGAGAAAAAGAGATATGAGCCAATTCAGTTCCTTGTTAGCGCCAGGTGCAAACGTGCATTTTTTGTTCAAGCAGCTAAACCTCCATTCTGTGATTTATTTTGTTCGGTGTCAATGACACATGTGTGTTTCGATGTTCTTTTTGTATGGTCTTTATGTGCAATTCTCACATGAACAGTACGTTTGTTGGTGGCCAGCTATGGCCATATTTTATTGGGATGTCCAGTGTCCAGCTATAGTGCCACTCCGTGAGCCCCGGGAAAAAATCACAAGAGCTATAGCTGAGGAATCCATGGGATTTAAAAGAAAACCAGCTTTGCGCAGCGAGATTTTTGTTGTTTGGCCAGGCCAGTTTTTTTCCTACATTCAGGAAGCCATATTGGCATTAGGCATCCCTTCTAGATTCGTCGGCCAAGCACCTTCTAGCCCATCGGTGAAATTGCGTCAATGATTCCGAGGAAAGACCTCGAGGATGGGCAACCTGCCACGACTTTGTTGGTTTGTCCTCATGTGAAGGCCTGGAAATCCTTCGAGGCATTTCAGGAGAACTGACCCGTGGGCCTAGTCCGGAAATTTAGGAAGGTCGGTTCCTAATGCCCTTGTTACTAGCGATGCCAGGAGCTGCTATTAGCGTCCTTTGTTCAATGGGAAAGGCAGGAATCGGACATTCAGGAAGATGGGTTCCTGCTACAGAATCTAAGGGGGAAGGAGGGGACATGTTTTGTGTATGGAGGTTCCAGGGCCTCCATGTTGAGGTGTCAGCATCAGGAGTTTGCTTCTGAACTTTCGGAACTGGTCACACTGTCCCCAGGAGTTCTACCAGAACGAGCTTTCGAATGGATACTATTTCGCTGAGCAGGAGCACGAAGACAAACATGGTCCGACCCGGATGACAGATGACTGACGTCTCGTCTCAACGGGTTTGACGTCATGAGTTGCGGTCGTGGGTGAAGAAGGACGAACGAAGCCGTGCATTTGCGGCAGGACATCTACATGGTCTCATTTCATCCTGAGTATGGCCAAGGACAGAGTTCTTGATTGTGCGGTCAGAATGTCTCATACGGCGAGGGGTACGAGAGATACGCTCGGACTCACTAAGATGGAAGTAGGAACACCCGGCAAAAGTGGAGAATGGCCCCTTGGAACACAATTTGCACAACAGACAGGTGGTTTTCCACTTCCATGTTAGTTCCAGGGAGAGTATTTTTTGTGACAACGAGGTCAGGTCCTGACAAAGACTATGAATCTTGTCAGTTGCTCAGTTCACATTGTAAAAACCAGCCTGCGCGATTCCACCAGTCAACAAACATTGGAGGAGAGATAGAATAGAATGAAGCAACCAAGGATGCAAGATAGTAAGACATCTTCCGAACTGTTCAGACACTTATGTAAGCACTCCATTGTCGGTGCATGGCGGCATCCATTTGTCATATATGGAGTTCAGTTCTTCGTCGCCTGGGACTTTCCCAGCAATAGCGAACCTTGCTCCGTTCGTAGTAAGGCCAGGAGCCCCGAACTCGTAGCGTCCGATCGCTCCGTTCGTAGCGATGCCTGAAATGCTCCGTTCGTAGCGTCCTCTACCCCCCCTGGCTTCATTTCATTCATCCCATGGGTCCATGATGGTCCATGGGTGGCTCACCCTGAAGTGCTCTTCGCAGGTGCAGGCCATCGCTATTAGGTTGCAGGCCATCGCTACTAGGGTGGAGGCCATTGATATAGAAATAGAAATGACAACAGAAAAAAGGAAGAAAGGTCTATTATAAATATATTTTGCTAATAATTGAAGCGACCTCCGTAGGAGCTGGTCTCCAGCTGGGCGACCTCATCCAGCTGGGTGAGCAACGTGCCACCATTCGCGACACCTGCGCAGGCCGGTGGCACAGCAGACGCTAAACCGAATTCAGTTTGCACCAAACAATAGCTTGGATTGTAATGGAAGTATGAAGTCGAGGGTAGTTACACTTAGTATGCTCTTTTGGTCCGACTGGACCTGGGTTCGCCAGGGTATAGCGCTTCGGGCCTGCCGCTGGCCATGGTCGAGCTGGAGACTGGTGAGGAAGCGAACACATTCTGAAAGCAATCTGAATCCGGAATCAATCCGAAGTCTCAGTGCCACGCTACTAGTAACAAGTGCATCGCTAGTAGTAACAAGTGCCTTACTAGTAGTAACAAGAAGTCTCATTCCCTTC